TTAAGTTATGGGCAATGTATGGAATTTAAGTAAGTAAGTAATCAGCCCAAACATCATCGTAGAGGGCTTTATTAGCGATTTTAAAAAGTCCCAGGTCTCTCCTTTTAATAATTGGATGCCAGTTTAATTTTTGCAAGTCCTCTAAAACAGTATACCGCCTGCGAATGTTGTTTGAACTCTTTGCAGCCGTTTCATTTGGTATTCTGGAAGGGGATGGACGACGACACACCCTGGCACATTTAGAAGCTGTGAAATATTACTTTAAACTATTGGGGATTGTTTTAATGAGAAAAATCGTAGCTATAGATTGAGAGATTTTGGCACCGGAATGAAATTGCCCGGCTCGCAGGCAAAGTAACCGGGTTCAACTTGCGGCATAATTTGTTCTGGTCAGGGCCCGGTTGCATAAAACCTGCACTTAAGTGCTCACTTAAGTAGGTCACTTACGAATCCGTTATGGGTACACTTACGGGTGTTGCATGGAACACACTTAGCACTCTCGTAAGTTTCTGTTTTACGTGGTAACTTACGGGCTTACTTAAGGGCACACGTAACTTTGTTATAGTACTTTTAATTATTAATTTGACTCACTCTTTTTTTTAAATTAAGTTAACCATCGGTGAGTGTAAAGAAAGTTAAAAGTCGTTTCCAACACTTTTAAGCCTCTCAAAAAATGAAATTTGCATGCAAACGTTATTTTTCTTCAATATCTACTGAAAATGATAGTTCGTCTTCTTTTTTCACTAAAGTGTACATCAGAGGTTAACAACGCGTATTAGAACGAATTACGTGAAGAAAAATACTTTTTTTCACTTCTCAGTAAAAGATCTTGTTAAATTTAGTAAAAACAGTAACGATACGGGACCCACATAGGTCCCGTAAATTAACGTGCTATTTTTCCTGCCCTGGGCCCGGTTGCATAAAACGTCCGTAACAACTACGGGTACACGTACGTGCACTCGTAACTTAAGTCAGTTGCATGAAATCACTTAAGTGGTCCACTTAGGGAATTCACTCAAGTGGTTGCACTTACGATTTTCATAAGTGTTCACTTAAGTGTCGTTTATGCAACAGAAATTGCGGGTGTTGCATAAAACTTTTTTTACGGGAAAAATAGCACGTAAATTTACGGGACCTATGTAGGTCCCGTATCGTCACTGTTTTTACTAAATTTAACGAGATCTTTTACTGAGAAGTGGAAAAAAGTTTTTTTTCCTCTCGTAATTCGTTCTAATGCGCTTTGTTAACCTCTGATGTACACTTTTGGGAAAAAAGAAGAAGAACTATCATTTTCAGTAGATATTGAAGAAAAATAACGTTTGCATACAAATTTCATTTTTTGAGAGGCTTAATAGTGTTGGAAACGACTTTTAACTTTCTTTACACTCACCGATGGTTAGCTTAAAAAAAAAGAGTGAATCGTTAATAAAGTACTATATCAAGGTTACGTGTGCCCTTAAGTGAGCCCGTAAGTTACCACGTAAAACAGAAACTTACGAGAGTGCTAAGTGTGTTCCATGCAACACCCGTAAGTGTACCCATAACGGATTCGTAAGTGACCTACTTAAGTGAGCACTTAAGTGCAGGTTTTATGCAACCGGGCCCAGGGGCGTAGCTTTCATATTCGAAAAGACGCCCGAGCGTGCGTATAGCTAAAATGTGAAAAAAGGAATCTCTTTCTACTTCCTGAAAGCCTTTTTCGTCATTTAATCAGGGATGACTGATAAATTTTCCCCATTATATTTGTGTCTTTTCTGAAGGAGCACGCCTCGAGATCCCCCTTGCTTGGAGTGCATTTGGAGCTCTGAGACCTAGGCCAAACCTTGAACTTTTTATGAGACGAACCAAACTTAGTTGGTTAAGTTCATAAATCAAATCAAATAACTTGTTTTAATTATTGTCCCCTTTGCAGTAAGAAGACTGAATTGTAGGATTCCTTACAAGCCGTGATATATATACTAATACGCTACATTTATTGACAAGATTAATATTTAACGCTAACAAAATTTGAGAATCGTTCAGTCCTTGTGGCCATGGGCCTGCTAGAACTCCCTGATCTTAGACACACACTGGTAGATATAGGTACCACTCTGTTGTGTATTAGTGGGTATAATGGATTACCTGGCCTAACCTTACCTATAAATTCAATACACGAGACTGCCCGACGGTCAGAAAGAGTGGATAATGCAGATTTGTCAAGTGCTGTTTCATACGAAATACCAGGCCAAATGATCGAAAGGGCCCTTTTTTGCAGGTTCTCAATATAGCAAGCAAGATAGGCAAGTCAGTAAAGGCAGCGGAGGCGTACTCTGGTATAGAGCGAATTAGCGCGCAGTAGATTTGAACAATATCAGCCTACGGAACTTTGCACTTCTTGACTTGTCTTAGTGCATAAAGCCGTCTGTTGGCCTTCTTCACGATGTAGTAGCAGTGCACTGCCTAAGTGATGTCCGCAGTAAGATGGACACCGAGGAGCTTAAATCTAGAGACCTGCTCAATTTCGGACCCACCAACCGCGATTGGGAGCGGCACGCGACTATTGTAGTGAAGAAAGTCAACAGTCATGGTCCTGCATTTACGGGGTTTTAAGCGCATATTGTTGTCAACAGCGAAAGCGTGGATATTATCAACTACTACATTCAATAAGGATGGCGAATTGCGAGGTACAACCTCCAAAACTGTCCGATCATCCACGAATTTAATGCGAGCGCCCCAACTTTGAATAAGGTCATTGTCCATATCAGCAAACAACATAGGACCCAATTTTGTGCCCTGAGGAATGCCTCCATTTAGATGTAAAGGAGCAGAAACCGAGGGGCAAACGCGTGTGACCTGAGTTCTCCCTTGCAAAAAGGATGCGACCCACCTAAGCAAGCTCCAGTGGAGATTGTACTGTGTAGAAAGGTTCTCCATTAATATAGGGTGATCAATAAGGTCAAAACCTTTTTTAAAATCAGCAAAAATAATCTTAGATAGCAACCGCCCCTGTCCAGGGCTTCTAAAGGCAGATGTAAAAGATAGACAAGGGCCTGCTCGGTTGATTTACCAGCCACCGCGAATTGGTTTCTATCGAGGTTGCCTACAATAGATGGATATAATCTAGCTAATGTGAACCCTCCAGCACTTTAGCGAGCTAGCATGTGAGAGAGGTTGGTCCCACATCGTCTTCGATGCACTTCGATATGTTGTTCATGAAATATTCGACGTCTGGCTCAGTTATGTTCACCTAAATGAGTTTGTATCTTCGAACACGAACGTGAAGAAGATCGTCTCCGGGACAAACTTCGATATTTGCATGCGACGAACTAAACTGATGAGTTAAAACTTTGTATGATAATATATATTTAGCCTTGTTCAAGAGAAAAAATATTAAAATTGCTTTTTGGTCTGATTCAGTTGATTGGTTCGACGTCAAACCCAACAGAAGATATTAACTTAATTTAGGTTGACCCAAATTAGAGTTTGCATGGTTCGTCTCATGAAAAGTTCGATGTTTGGCCTAGGCCTTCGACGTTGGGCCAAGGCCACTTCCGTGAGTACACCCTCAAAGTCTCACGCTAACTCCTGCTTGTATTGGTGATAAAATACGTACAGATCCACGAGAGGGAGCTGGAGTGAACCAATATCGGTTAACCCTTCCTTATTAGCAGATATGGATGGTGCCGAGGGTCGTTAAACACTAGGAGTTTGATTTATCTTTGTTAAAAGTTACAGTATTTTCAATTTTTTCAAGGTTCGAATCTTCAATGTGTGATTTACAGCAACAGAAAGTATATATTATCATTATTGCTGATAACATTACTGTACGTTGCGATTAGCAGTCAGAGGAAACCTCAATTTGTGCAAAAGGGGAATCTCACCTTTTGGTGATATATTATAAAAGAAAGAATTTTACCAAAAACGGAAGTGCACTAGGATGGTCAATCGGGCATTATTTAACAATTAATGAATGAGGCTGAGTATCTTATGAAGGATTATGGAGATCGAGGAGGGTGTTATCCGCCTCGGCCTACGGCCTCGACGGATAACACCCTCGGAGATCCCCATAATTCTTCATATGATATGAAAGCCGAATTCAATAATTGTTTTATTATTCATTCAAAATTATTCCTAGTTTAAAAACATGGCTAAAACATGCTTACCTCCATCGATCCATCGATGTTAAGTTCATCTTCGATAGTGCACGTTTAGGTTTGTCTAGCTCCGCAAATATTCTCCAAAGAGCAGACGTCGTCCTTCGAGTTGTCTTCTTGCTGTTCTTGCCATGTTTTTAGCTATTTTTTCGCCTAGTTCTTACTCTTGAAACGAGTGAAATGTCCGCCATTTTTCAAGTTCACTGATCAAAACAACTCAACCTCGTGCCCAGGTCTTCTCGGTTAACGGTGCCTTAACCTGCGAAAACGCTGCATTTTTGACGTCATTTCCTCGTTAAACACAAAATTCTTCCAAATTTGGTCATCAGTAACTGGTTATGGTGAATTAAACGTGTGCTTTTAGCCAATCAGAATTGGGAAAATATTTTGAATGAATAATAAAATCATTTAAGTGAAAACAGAGTGTGGTTCGCTATGTATAATAGAATTCAAACGATAGCTATACAAAAACTAGTAAACTTCTACAGTTTCCTACAACGTCACTATTGACATGGACCAGACATCAATTTGTGCCTCATGCTACCCTGAACATTTTGACCATTTCCTCGGAAATGGGTTCTGAGCAGCTTTGGTCTAGTATAAATGAAGAACGAAAGTACAGAGTCAGTCCAACACCAGCTCCTGGTATATTACAGTTTGGGTCATAAAGTGTATCTACGCCTTTCCAGTAATGACTCCCATCATCATAACACATGCCACGGCCAAAACTCAGAGACGAAAAGCAATTGCAGTTGTCGTCATCAAGCAGGATCGATCTGATGCCATTTTGATCACGGTACATGAATGAATCTTGAGCTTTCTCTGGTGAATTACCACTCAACACGTCTGGTGCCCATTCTTGCCGATTTACCACTTCCTGATAATATGTGTGCTGGTGATCATGGAATGCGCGCCTGACTGCATGAGCAACATCATTGCTGGAGTTGAATTGCCATTTGTAAACGGTGTTTTCCGAGTCAACAGCAAGCATCTCGGTGGAATCTTCCACCGCTGACCAGGGAAGGCGTCCAAAACAGTAGGATCCGTTGAATTGCAGTGACCAAAGTCGTACTTGAGCACGTCTTCTTCCCAGTCGGGCCAAGCTGTGTTAGCGTCATACCACCAAAATGCCGTCCATTGTACCTCCTCACAATGTTTGCCTTCAGCGATCGGAGGACACTGACAAGCGTAGCTGTTATTCTCATACACCGGGATACATGTGCCACCGTTTCTGCAGGGTATCTGATCACACGTGCTCTAATGTAAAGTATAACATGGCAAAAATTAAAATCAATATTAAACAACAGGAATGAAACATTTTTTTACTGGCAGGGTTATTTCAGAAGAAACTATTTGCGGATGTTTCAAACATTCTGCAACCAAAAATGGTTGGTTGGTTTCAGTTACAGAAATACATGTAAGAAAAATTCGTGTTTAAGCCATATCGCGCAAAGTAACACCACAGTTCCCTCAGATTGTCAGCTCTTAGGATATTGTATACTGCGCTTACGATCAAGATTAATACTTAACGGTGCTCTCGCTTTGTACTGCTGATTGAGAAACCTTCAAAAATGTGACGAGAGATAAAATGTAAATCCGCGGACTATCATGCCTTTCATCAAGGGGACTTCATATGACTTCCATAGAAAAAAAGCTTGCTCAGTTCAATTGATTCTCCACCGGGTACGCCAAATTTTAGCCAAATTATGAAGAGAAATAACGTTTGGCTGTTTGGGGACTTCAAAACGCAGTCTTTGATCATAAAAATGAAGAAGTCGGGTTAACGTTAATTATAACGTAGTGATTAGTGATGTATTTTATTTTCTCTTTTTTTTCCTTAGCTAAAGATATTTTTAGATTAATTTGTAAAGTTGCACAATTCAGTTTATTTTGCGAAGTGACTCAATAAATCCCAGTCTATCTCTGTCTATCTATCTATCTATCTATCTATCTATCTATCTATCTATCTATCTATCTATCTAAGGAGGCTCGCACCCATTTTTCAAGGTCTCACTGCTTCGTGTCCAATACCTCACGATGACATGAAATCCACAAATTGAGATCTATGAGAGCGTTTTGAAATATGTTTTAAAACATTTTCATCCCAAAATGTCTTTTACACTTTTTGTTTTTTGATCAACGAAAATAATGATTTACAGTGTCGGTACGATCAAAATTTACATACCCCGCTTAGGTGCGGTTCAGTTCTTTCAGTAGTGAAAATTGGCAAGAAATCGCTGTTTGGGATAGCGCATTTTGCTATTCTTACTCATGAGATATTTTTGCCCATGTAAGCGCAAAAAGGTGCCATATTTTTTGAGCGGCAGTTTAATCTTTTTTTTTTTTTCAAAAAAAATCTTCGAGAGGTTCTTTGAGGGTTTTTTAAACCATTTTCCATCGAAAAAGAGCCTTCGTAGCATACTGAGCAGCATTGGTTCAAAACAGGCTTTGTTAAAAGCTCTAGAGAGAAGATTGAAAAAAAAAAAAGAAAAAAAAAGAAAAAGAGACTTCAGCTAACATGCATGGTCAACATCTTAGTCCGCGGGAACCACCGCGTGGGAATGAAGTCAGGTTACTGCGCTAAAGCAACACTGTTATATTACCACTCGCAGTGTACAACGTAAGCTTGAACTAGCTGGCAAACATTATGTGTTAAGGAAAATATTATTATTGAATTCAAATAATGTTGTTTGTACATATTATAATACGGTTTCAAATATTAGTTAATATCTTTTCAATTGTTCCAGAATATGTAACATAAAATTCACCGAAATTCTTTCTCTCTCTTTTTTTTCATCGAAGTTTTTCATGAAAGTAAATGTTTTTCAATATTCCATGTTTGATGTGTTAGTTTAAACTGCAGACAGTTATAAACTTAACAATAATTTGCCAAATAGGAGAGTATAAAACATAAGTTTAAGGATAGGAAATGAAATGGAGTTAAATATACTAAAACAATTATTCACCTCAGGCTCAGTTAATATTGTTGAATAATCCCCTCGACTTCGTCTCGGGGATTATTCAACAATATTAACTTCGCCTTCGGCGAATAATTGTTAAATACGCTACATTTATTGACAAGATTAAAATTTAACGCTAACAAAATTTGAGAAACGTTTAGTCCTTGTGGCCATCGGCCTGCTAGAACACCCTGATCTTGGACACACACTGGGAGATATAGGTACCACTCTGTTGTGTATTAGTGGGTATAATGGGTTACCTGGCCCGAGCCTTACCTATAAATTTAGTACATGAGACTGACCGACTGTCAGAAAGAGTGGATAATGCAGATTTGTCAAGTGCTGTTTCATACGAAATACCAGGCCAAATGATCGAAAGGGTCCTTTTTCGCAGGTTCTCAATATAGCAAGCACGATAGACAAGTCAGCAAAGGCAGCGGAGGCGTACTCTAGTTTAGAGCGAATTAGCGCGCAGTAGATTTGAACAATATCAGCCTACGGAACTTTGCACTTCTTGACTTGTCTCAGTGTATAAAGCCGTCTGTTGGCCTTCTTCACGATATAGTCGCAGTGCACTGTCTAAGTGATGTCCTCTGTAAGATGGACACCGAGGAGCTTAAATCTAGAGACCTGCTTAATTTCGGACCCACCAACCGCGATTGGGCGCGGCACGCGACTATTGTAGTGAAGAAAGTTAACAGTCGTTGTCTTGCATTTACGGGGGTTTAAGCGCATATTGTTGTCAACAGCGAAAGCGTGGATATTATCAACTACTACATTCAATAAGAATGGCGAATTGCGAGGTACAACCTTCAGAACCGTCAGATCATCCACGAATTTAATGCGAGCGCCCCAACTTTGAACAAAGTCATTGACCATAACAGCAAACAACACAGGACCCAATTTTGTGCCCTGAGGAATGCCTCCATTTAGATATAAAGGAGCAGAAACCGAGGGGCAAACGCGTGTGACCTGAGTTCTCCCTTGCAAAAAGGATGCGACCCACCTAAGCAAGCTCCAGTGGAGATTGTACTGTGTAGAAAGGTTCTCCATTAATATAAGGTGATCAATATGGTCAAAACATTTTTTAAAATCAGCAAAAAATAATCTTAGATAGCAACCGCCCCTGTCCAGGGCTTCTAAAGCCAGGTGTAAAAGATAGACAAGGGCCAGCTCGGTTGATTTACCAGCCACCGCGAATTGGTTTCTATCGAGGTTGCCTACAATAGATGGATATAATCTAGCTAATGTGAACCCTCCAGCACTTTAGCGAGCTAGCATGTGAGAGAGGTTGGTCCCACATCGTCTTCGATGCACTTCGATATGTTGTTCATGAAATATTCGACGTCTGGCTCAGTTATGTTCACCTAAATGAGTTTGTATCTTCGAACACGAACGTGAAGAAGATCGTCTCCGGGACAAACTTCGATATTTGCATGCGACGAACTAAACTGATGAGTTAAAACTTTGTATGATAATATATATTTAGCCTTGTTCAAGAGAAAAAATATTAAAATTGCTTTTTGGTCTGATTCAGTTGATTGGTTCGACGTCAAACCCAACAGAAGATATTAACTTAATTTAGGTTGACCCAAATTAGAGTTTGCATGGTTCGTCTCATGAAAAGTTCGATGTTTGGCCTAGGCCTTCGACGTTGGGCCAAGGCCACTTCCGTGAGTACACCCTCAAAGTCTCACGCTAACTCCTGCTTGTATTGGTGATAAAATACGTACAGATCCACGAGAGGGAGCTGGAGTGAACCAATATCGGTTAACCCTTCCTTATTAGCAGATATGGATGGTGCCGAGGGTCGTTAAACACTAGGAGTTTGATTTATCTTTGTTAAAAGTTACAGTATTTTCAATTTTTTCAAGGTTCGAATCTTCAATGTGTGATTTACAGCAACAGAAAGTATATATTATCATTATTGCTGATAACATTACTGTACGTTGCGATTAGCAGTCAGAGGAAACCTCAATTTGTGCAAAAGGGGAATCTCACCTTTTGGTGATATATTATAAAAGAAAGAATTTTACCAAAAACGGAAGTGCACTAGGATGGTCAATCGGGCATTATTTAACAATTAATGAATGAGGCTGAGTATCTTATGAAGGATTATGGAGATCGAGGAGGGTGTTATCCGCCTCGGCCTACGGCCTCGACGGATAACACCCTCGGAGATCCCCATAATTCTTCATATGATATGAAAGCCGAATTCAATAATTGTTTTATTATTCATTCAAAATTATTCCTAGTTTAAAAACATGGCTAAAACATGCTTACCTCCATCGATCCATCGATGTTAAGTTCATCTTCGATAGTGCACGTTTAGGTTTGTCTAGCTCCGCAAATATTCTCCAAAGAGCAGACGTCGTCCTTCGAGTTGTCTTCTTGCTGTTCTTGCCATGTTTTTAGCTATTTTTGCGCCTAGTTCTTACTCTTGAAACGAGTGAAATGTCCGCCATTTTTCAAGTTCACTGATCAAAACAACTCAACCTCGTGCCCAGGTCTTCTCGGTTAACGGTGCCTTAACCTGCGAAAACGCTGCATTTTTGACGTCATTTCCTCGTTAAACACAAAATTCTTCCAAATTTGGTCATCAGTAACTGGTTATGGTGAATTAAACGTGTGCTTTTAGCCAATCAGAATTGGGAAAATATTTTGAATGAATAATAAAATCATTTAAGTGAAAACAGAGTGTGGTTCGCTATGTATAATAGAATTCAAACGATAGCTATACAAAAACTAGTAAACTTCTACAGTTTCCTACAACGTCACTATTGACATGGACCAGACATCAATTTGTGCCTCATGCTACCCTGAACATTTTGACCATTTCCTCGGAAATGGGTTCTGAGCAGCTTTGGTCTAGTATAAATGAAGAACGAAAGTACAGAGTCAGTCCAACACCAGCTCCTGGTATATTACAGTTTGGGTCATAAAGTGTATCTACGCCTTTCCAGTAATGACTCCCATCATCATAACACATGCCACGGCCAAAACTCAGAGACGAAAAGCAATTGCAGTTGTCGTCATCAAGCAGGATCGATCTGATGCCATTTTGATCACGGTACATGAATGAATCTTGAGCTTTCTCTGGTGAATTACCACTCAACACGTCTGGTGCCCATTCTTGCCGATTTACCACTTCCTGATAATATGTGTGCTGGTGATCATGGAATGCGCGCCTGACTGCATGAGCAACATCATTGCTGGAGTTGAATTGCCATTTGTAAACGGTGTTTTCCGAGTCAACAGCAAGCATCTCGGTGGAATCTTCCACCGCTGACCAGGGAAGGCGTCCAAAACAGTAGGATCCGTTGAATTGCAGTGACCAAAGTCGTACTTGAGCACGTCTTCTTCCCAGTCGGGCCAAGCTGTGTTAGCGTCATACCACCAAAATGCCGTCCATTGTACCTCCTCACAATGTTTGCCTTCAGCGATCGGAGGACACTGACAAGCGTAGCTGTTATTCTCATACACCGGGATACATGTGCCACCGTTTCTGCAGGGTATCTGATCACACGTGCTCTAATGTAAAGTATAACATGGCAAAAATTAAAATCAATATTAAACAACAGGAATGAAACATTTTTTTACTGGCAGGGTTATTTCAGAAGAAACTATTTGCGGATGTTTGAAACATTCTGCAACCAAAAATGGTTGGTTGGTTTCAGTTACAGAAATACATGTAAGAAAAATTCGTGTTTAAGCCATATCGCGCAAAGTAACACCACAGTTCCCTCAGATTGTCAGCTCTTAGGATATTGTATACTGCGCTTACGATCAAGATTAATACTTAACGGTGCTCTCGCTTTGTACTGCTGATTGAGAAACCTTCAAAAATGTGACGAGAGATAAAATGTAAATCCGCGGACTATCATGCATTTCATCAAGGGGACTTCATATGACTTCCATAGAAAAAAAGCTTGCTCAGTTCAATTGATTCTCCACCGGGTACGCCAAATTTTAGCCAAATTATGAAGAGAAATAACGTTTGGCTGTTTGGGGACTTCAAAACGCAGTCTTTGATCATAAAAATGAAGAAGTCGGGTTAACGTTAATTATAACGTAGTGATTAGTGATGTATTTTATTTTCTCTTTTTTTTCCTTAGCTAAAGATATTTTTAGATTAATTTGTAAAGTTGCACAATTCAGTTTATTTTGCGAAGTGACTCAATAAATCCCAGTCTATCTCTGTCTATCTATCTATCTATCTATCTATCTATCTATCTATCTATCTATCTATCTATCTA